GAGGCGAGGGCAGGCGGCGGCCGAACGGCCCCGGCCCTAAAAATGGAAGCCACCGGAGCGGTGAAGCGAGAGCAAGAAATGTCCCTGCGACGGGCACGGTCCTCCTGCCCCGTGTTTGCCGCCAGGGCTCAGCGCGAAAACGAGTAATGCGGGAAGAAACTCGCTGAAGGAGAAGCTTGTTAAATAATTTATTGATTTATACAAAGTCTTTCCAACCCGTGTGGAGACATTATTTGATCCCAATGTAAAATCAAGTGTCCGTTTTTCTCTCGTGCTTTTTTGGGTTGTTTTCTCTTTTGATATTATTAAGCATAAAATCCAGAGGCAGGAGAAATCAAACCGCCAAAACACTGAGTAGAGGGAAGGAGTGAAAGAAACAGCCGTTTTTACACTAGAAATATACATCACAAAATTTGAAATTTACTATATACAAAGTGGCTGAGCTTGGATTTGGCGACCCATACAAAACGTAACAAAATCTGATTGTTAGGAGCAGGAAATCGGCAAGGAGGCTAAAAGAAAGAGGGGCAAATCTTAAAGGGACACAAAACAAAAACCAAAAAAGTTGGAAAAATTCCTCTGAAATTTACATCGATGAGAAGGAAAATAATTTCATAACTTATTCTGTAAAAAATATATACATTTCACATACATCTTAGGCTGTACAACACACCACTTTAAACATCCAGGTACGAGTCATCTGCGTCGCGGCACCCACCGCAGCGGCCCGAGCGGCCGTCAGTGCCTGCGCCCTCACAAGGTGTCCGAGCTGGTGCTGCAGGGGCTGACAAGGGACAGGTTCGTGGATTTGTGCTTTTTCAATAGCCTCGTGATTTTTTCGTCGTCTGAGTTGGGGTCCAGGGGCTTGTTGTATTCGTCATCGTCCTCATTGTCCGAGCTCTCCTTCAGCTTCTCCGTCTCCGAGTCGTGCTTCTTCTTTGCCGAGGCCATCTCCGCCGCGTGCCGCTTCCGCCACTTGGTCCGTCTGTTCTGGAACCAGACCTGGGCACCGGGCACCGGGCACGGCTCAGCCCCGCCGCCGCCCCCGACCCCCC